AATAATTTCAGTTGGGAAAACAAATAGGTTAAAAAAATCAGTTAAAAACAAGAAACTCTATAAACCTAGCGCTTTAGAATGGTAGTTCAGGTATTCCGTTCTTAATCAGGGACAGAGTTTCAGTATATTTTAGAAACAAATAGATGTTTTAAAGACTATCCAATAAAACCCTATGTTATACTAGAAAAACAGTGTAGTTTATATTTTTTAAAGCAAAACATGACTATTACATTAGATACATTTAATATATGTCTGTTATACAAATTTTGCTGTTTCAAACTGCTATCTAAACAAGCATGTCTTGGAAAGAACAGCATATAAAAAGCAACAAAAACACTAGTACACTAAAATATTAGTGTGGGGAAAAACCACGTGAGCCACAATCCACCTATGTAACTATATTATATGTGTCTACCTGCTATACTGCGAATATTTTGTTCCCAACGCCTCTTCATGCCTTCAGTCAAAACCATTGCAAGTTAGAACTCAGCATCAGATTAAGTGAACACAAACAGCGCATTGCTTTAATATAGACTTGCAAACATAAATAAATAGAACTGCACACAATTAAATTATGTTGAATAATGGTATAAAATGGAAAGGACAGACATATTTTAATCATCACAACCATGTTATTGTTTTGTTAAACCAAACAATGCTATTCGACTTAAAACTCATGACGTTCTACAGTAATTAAGTCGCCATTTCTAATCCGTTTTACGTACTTTTCTTGACTTGTCTGTATTTAATTTCTCGGTTAACATGTGATGTCAGTTAAGAGCTCATGGAAGTAGAGCTATAATTAGCTTTTGAGAATTACACGAAAAACACGCAGAATAAACGGGAGGGGGGAAGGCCAACTGAAAAATTCAGCAGGCCACGAGACTTGAAACTGCGAATCAGGAGTTCGGTCTCATTCGAGGAAACATGGAGAGCCCGTGTACTTGTCACCACTGACAGTAGTACACGTGATGATGCGCTTTATGCTTCTGTGGCTTGTCACACGTTTCCTTGAATCAGAAGTAAGTAAGCAGTGAAGATCGAGATGGAATTAGTCACAAAGAATACAAAAATGGACGTTTTTTTTCAGATTTATCTTTAGTACGCACCAAACACTTTTCCTCCTCGTGAATTAAAACACCAGAGAAAAGAAATGCTATTGTTTCATACTATAGAGATCAAATGGACTTTCTTTTACTTTTATTGTCACGTTCTCCGACTTCACATATTGAAAAACAATAACTTAACAATTGTTTGGTAACACATGTATATGAAGATGAAAACCACAAGTATACAAGTAAAAAATAATTATCTATCAAAGTCCAAATTTCTCTCTCAGTGTTCTTCAGATTTAGCGAAAAAAATCTAAGAAAACAACATGTTCCTTTTCGGGAACATGCTACCATACTCTTGATTGATTGGGATAAACCTTTGTGTCTATCCTCTGTATTTAGGTCGCACTGGTACAGTTGCTATGAAAATATCTAAAAATACTCTGACAAACGAATTCCAAGTTTCGCATACAAAACCTCATGGACCATCGTCCAGTTTCTGTTGTATAATGAGCTGTTTGGTGTGTTATCAAACTAAATGAAAACTGTACATATGAGATTCAAATTATACCTACCATACTATATCAGTATAAAGATGTTAAAGATCTTACTATATAAGATGTTTTACCAAGTTGCGAAATCTCACTGTCCACAAAGAATCTTTATTGGCTTTTTTACAGTAAATCTCACTGGATCTCCATATTTTATCACTGTAGCTTCATTACTTTTCTTGCATTTCAAAACAATCGTTAAATATTCATTTACAGTTACAATGTCTTTTGAGCTGTTCAAAATAACAACGATCCTGGTGTCAGTATTACACTGTACGAAAAAAAAAGCTTAAAGTTATGGTACACGCACACTGAAGACAACCAGACAACTTTTTGTAGAGAAAACAACAATGAGTCTGAAAGGAGCAGAGACCAGAACATGTATGTAATTCTATAAGGTATCTCCATTTCCAGCAGATAACTAACTTAATGTATGTAACCAGACTCTCGATAGTGCAGTTGGAACCATGAGGGAGCCATGCCAGTATTTAATTTATAACATCCAAGAATATCGTTCAAAAACACTACGTGTCTCATCTTTTTTACAATAACAAAACAGTAAATTATGTGTACAGGTTTCATTAACAAATAAAATTGTGGTAGAAAAAAAAACATTACACGACAGTAGTGTTAAAGCATATATGGTGTTTACAGATTCATAAGGCCTAAAATAAACCGAATATTTAAACATTATAGCGTCTTACAAATTAACAACAAGTAACGCATAAAAACAAAGAGCATTACACTTTTGAGAGACTGTTAAATCAAAGTTCACTAAACTTTTGACATTTTGACATAATCCGAAGAAGGTAACTTGAGATCATCGCGGTGGCTTTGTGAGCATAAATAAATAAAATAATGAAATAGATAAAACACAACTGAGTATACAATTTCATTATATTTTATTTTGAATAAGTAAAGAAAAGTATTTTATACAGCCGCACTGAAATATATTGTAGGACTTTAATAACTACTTTTCCAAAACAAATTCCGTTCTGTAGTCTTGAAATACTTATTAAAATACATCCAACTTACGTTATTGATTGTATTTCAAATGAAAAAGTTTCTAATTTGTTCCTACAAAACACGCATCACTTCAAGAAACAAAACCAGTCGAACAGCTTGAACATATACAAGTTACAGTTATACTATTGATGGAACTACAACTCAAGATTGTTAAATACATTACAATCAACCTTTACTACCTCACAAAATAATTGAAGTACCGTTTCACTGGTATATCAGGCAGTGTAGGCATTTTAGGTTTGAAATTTGTTTCTTGAGCGATTTCCGTATCTCTGTTTCACTCAAGAAAAGAGGAGCAGTCCATTACACAAGCTTTAA